TTATCTTATTGTTTTAATTTTTTAATTTAATTATTACTTATTAGTTTCTACTTATTTTTTATTTATATTTAATTAATTTTTTAATCAATTTATTTATTTTTTTCACTTAACTTTATTGCTATCACCTCCAATACAGGAGCTTGAGCACTGCTCTCCCCTCTCACTGTATACACGGAGTGGCAGGGTTAGTTTTAACCCTGCCGCTCTGCTCACCGTATCGGCTGTCAGTGAGGAGACAGACTCTGCGGCGGAGCCAGAAGACGGAGCCAGCGAGGAGAGAGGTAAGTGCAGGGGAGGGGGCGGACAAACGAACAAGCGCCGGCTTACTCATGCCACATTTAGCCCTACTTTATGTTCCGGGTGTCGGGGGATTCTACAGGCCCTGCCGCCCCGAGGCCGGGCCTCGGTGGCCTTGTGGGGAATCCGGGCCTGAGTATATGGATTGTAGCTTCTCTCACAAAACTCTCAGCAAATACTCATTATGTTTTTCCCCCACAATGTATCATTGCAGGGGTTATATTATCTTCCATTGTGTCTTCCAATCCAAAAACATCCCCATTTCTACTTCTACTGGATGCCAAAACATTCAAAGAAATAGGCCGTGCCAGTATCAGTGCCGACATACTTCTGGACCTGCATGGAATCTTCATCCCAGACAATAAGTGAACAGTGACCAAATAAACTCATCATTATACACTGTGAAAGCCCAGAGGTTTGCTTCAATAGTGACAAAACCACAAAGCTACTCATCCACTTCCTTGTTATCTCTCGTCTTGACTATTGCAACTTCCTCCTCATTGGCCTTCCACTACACAGGCTATCCCCCCTTCAGTCTATCATGAAGGATGTTGCTAGGCTCCTCCACCAAACCAACCGCTCAATGTCTGCAACCCCCCTCCTTCAATCTCTGCACTGGCTTCCAATCGCCCAAAGGATACAATTCGAAATATTAATAACCAATTACAAAGCCATCCACAACTCTGCCCCCCTTGTCTCGAAGTATGACCCCAAGCCCTGGTTCACACCTAGGCAGCACCGTTTTTGCGCGTTTGTATGCACGTTAGCAGCATGCGTTCTGACACTCGTACATGAAGACACGCGTTTTGATTAGCAGCTCATAAACCATTGAGGGCAATTGAAGGACGCATGTATAAACGCGCAAAAACGCTCATGAAACTGTGCAAAATGCTTCTGTTGCGCTTCTTTTTGGGCATGTCCAATGAAGTCTATGGAGAGGAAAAGTGCTTTTAACTGCCCTAAGAATCTCCTCTATCTTTTCAGGCATTTTATAATCCTGTATAATAATAATCGTCGGTTTTTGTTTTCTTTCATTATTTCTATTTATTTTTTAATTTAGTCGTTGTCGTGGACAACACTGGGCGCCATGATTGACCCTGGATTATGTCGGTGGATCCTTTTTTTTGTTTAAAATAAAAGACTTGTCAAAAACATTTTTAATTTTTTTTCCTTTCAATTAAAGGATTTTATCAAAAGTCTGGACTTTAATAACTATTTTATTTAACCCTTTAGTGAATGGGTACAAGTACCCCTTCCGAATTCACAAGAGAGGGGGGGTATCTGGGTGCACCGTTAATTAAAGGGGTACCTCGATGCAAATAAGCCCCCTTGCCTGCAGACCCCCCACAACCACCGGGTCAGGGTTGTGGAGACGAGGCCCTTGTCCCCATTGGCACGGGAACACCCTCCCAGTGCCAAGGGCATGTGGCCTGGTGTGGGAGGGAGGGGGGGCAGCTCTCGCTCGTCCCCCCCTTTCCGGCCCTGCCAGGCCTATGCTCGGATCAAGGATCTGGTATGGAATTTTATGGTGGACCCCACCCATTTTTGGGGGTGGGGTTCCTCCTTAAAATTTCTACCAGACCTTAAGGGCCTGGTATGACTAAGTGGGAACCTCACACTTTTTTGTTTACACAGGGTCCCTCCTAAATATTCCTACCAGACCTTAAGGGCCTGTTCACACGACGTCCGTTTTCTGTGCTGACCTGATCTGTATGCTCCTGCACTAAAAATGCATCCCAATGTATTCCTATGTGTTTTATGGGCTCCAGTTCTCACGTGTGCAGTCCGTTAAGGTTACGACAGAAAAAAATACTGCATGTCACATTGTCAGGTCCGAAAACGCGTCAAAAACGCACTGCAGCTAACATACTGACAGCCCCACTCCAGCAAAAAAAAAAAAAATTTTTTTTTTAAAACTGGAACCCATCAAAAACACGGTCAAAACACACTGCATCAGTAGCATCGCGTCTGCAGATCTGCACCTGATATCATAAAAGGAGAACTATGAGGTGAGTGCTTTTCACTCACCTCATAGTTCTAGCCGACCTGTGACAATGAGACTGTCACAGGTCGGCTCAGTAGATCGGGAGGTGAGCGAACACATACCGGCGTTCGCTCACCTCACGATCCTGTCACGGCTCTCTGCCGTGACAGGGGAGGGGCTGGATTCCCCGCTCCTCCAGCGCTGACTGGCAGAACGGACGGGGGAGGGTACAGCTGGCTCTTCCTCTAGATAGGCAGAGCCAGATGTCAGTCACGCAGCTGGGCGGATCCAGACATAATTGTCGGGATCCGCTTCAGCTGCGGCGTCTCAGTATACTGCGAGCTGTAGCTCACGGTATACTGAGCTTAGGGTGACGGGAGGACGCTAGTTTGGGGTGACGGGAGGACGCTAGTTTGTGTCCTCCCGTTACCCTAAGGAGAACTATGGGGAAAAGCCCTAACTCCATAGTTCTCCTTTAAGGGTCTGGTTTGACTTTTAGGGAGAACCATGCACGATATTTGAATGAATTTATCATTTTTATTCTTACCCTTTAAGTGATGTTAAAATCACTGCTCCTTTAAAAACTGTCCCCCCCCCCCATTGATTCCTGTGCCCCAGGGCAGTACTCTGACCCCCATACACCTTTTATGGACAAAAACTTGCATATAAGCACTTTTAAAGGGGACAATTTCGAAAGTTCGACCCCCATTGACTTTCATTAGGTTCGAGTTCGTATTCGAACTTTTAGGCCGTTCGAATTGGCCTGGATTGTCGTGCTTTTTGCTTGCCCAGCTTTAATGTCTAGTATGTTATGTGGATATTTAATGTCTAATGCTGTGATAATTACCATCTCAAGATCTTTCGTGCTAAATCTTTTGTACTTGCTGTCTTCTTTCCTTTTGTTGAAAACAATAAATTCTATGTAAAAGAGAAAAAACCCCATTACAAACACCCCCCCACCCAAGGGTTTGCAAGGGGAGAAATCTTGCCGAGAAACCCCAGGCTGTGACGGGAGAGGACCCTGCACCGCAGAAAACAGTGCTTGGTGTGTTGTCAGGAAAAACAAGAACCGAGGACACACGCTCCTGTAGGAGGCAGGCTCCATCTAATGTGACTATAAAGATTAAAAAGACTATAAAGACTGGAAAATAAAAATGAAACCGCCATGAACAGTGGTGCTTAGTAGGAAGAATGCTCTGTTGCCCTGGAGATCAGTGGAAAGTAACCCATCGCAACCTCTGAAGAAACCCTGGCTGAAAAAGGCTGGACTATAGCAGGTAGGTGGTAGTCTACAGTAAACTTTGTTAAAGATAAAGGAGACAAATACTAGTGTAAATCACTCATGAAGGAGTTTAATAAGGAAAAGAGATGATGCGCACACATTTGTTGCCTGAGGAATGCATGTTGAGAGCTATTGGCTGTCTGCACACATTTGTTTGGTGATGTAGTATTCACCGCAAACAGCACTTCCATCAGAGGCAGCACAGTGGTTAGCACATCTGCCTTGCAGCACTGGGGGTCCCTGGATCAAGTCCAAGCCAGGTCACTACCTGGAAGGAGTTTGCATGTTCTCCCTGTGCTTGTGAGGGTTTCTCCTGGTACTCCGGTTTCCTCCCACACTCCAAAGACATGCTGGTAGGTTAATTGGCTCCTCTCTAAATTGGCCCTCGTATGTATGTATGCATGCATGTGCGATAGAGACCTTAGATTGTAAGCTCCTTGAGTGCAGGGACTGATGTGAATGTGTACTGTGTACAAGTGTCAGCGCTATATAAATACCAATAGTAAATAAATAATGCCAAGAAAGCCTTCTTATGGCTCGAGGCATTCCATAGTGATGGACTGCAAAATTAGATATAGCAGTCCTTGGTAAAACTAATAATAAACCAGAAGACAACCTATATATTGAGAGCGCTACTACTGATAGAATGAATGGTTGAACCAACACTTACATTTGAGAAGTCCTTGTAAATTCTCTGGAGGAGATGGGATGGGATCCTTGGGGAGGTGGGGCCCGGTGAAATCCAGTGTACAGGACGGCTGAGGGGATGTTATGTGGAGCAGGAGCAGCAGTCTCGCGGCGAGGCTCAGCTGGCCAGGCTGAGCCACGGCGGGCAGGAAAGCTTAATGGAGGGCTGTGGTGTGGCGCGTGTTGTCAGCGGTCGTCTCCCAGTCAGAAGTGGTAGGAGACGTGACAGTACTGGAGATGAGGGAATGCTCTCCAAGTGTCACAGTGAAGGGCTGCAAGAACCGTTGTCGGTGGTGTGTAGGGGATGGTTTGCTACGCGTTTCGAGGCATACGCCTCTTTGTCAAGCTCGAGCAATAAAGCATGCTAAAAGGAGCAGGCATGATAAACAAATCCTGCAGGGGCAGGTTACAGGATATCTATCCAGAAGTTAAATAGTACATTGACATGTGTGATGATGGCAGATCTCATCACAAACAGTTGAAGGTGAATTCTAAACTTGCTACTCCAGATACAACTACATTGCGGGTGAGAAACAAACAGGTTTTCCAGTTACACGTGAAACCCAGCAGAACAATACAGTATGCTTAGATAGAATTTTATGTAGAGCTGCAATTTCAGATAGCTTATATTAGTGCTAGGATACAGGGATCCATACCTGTGCATTATATAATAAACTGACAGACAGAGGAAAAGAATCATTTTTTAATTGTGTAAGAAAACCGAGTAACACATACTGAAACACAATGAAAATAAAAACACTAACAAATATTGTTGCTGTATAACTCTGCATACAGTCTATTTACTTCAACAGCAACAACATTATATGGATTCAGAGGAACAAAAATCCTTTTTCACCAGAATTCCACAATATAAAGCTGTGCTCACAGAGACCGCTTCATCCACATGATGTTGTCCAGACTTCACCCTTGCTCAGTTGTAAATAAAGTTGAACCTGCCAAAGAGAGAGATTTCATTTTCTTGTTTACTGAACTTTCTGCTGATGTAAATGTGTCATAGAAATCAATGTCTTCTACGGTCACAAGCTGGGGATTTTAATGATAACAGTAACAGAATGTAGCAATTAACTGAGCAACGCTATTAGGGATGTCCCGATACCACTTTTTCAAGACCAAGTGCTTCCACTCATGTACTTGCCAATACCAATTACCGATACTTTTTCTTAAAAGGGACCGGTGACATTAAAAAAAAACAAAAAACAATACAGACTGATTATTTTAGGCCAATTTCTTTATGATTATGAAGAACTTTAATTCAAGACTGTTTTAGAACAATAAAACATTTGTATTTGCTTTCACACAGCTGTCGTGAAACTACAAACACGATCATGCATCTGCCTCTGGGATCATTTAACCTATTCATGTTAGCAGGGGAGAATTGTAACTCTATTGCTGCAGTGTACTGGAAGTGTGTACTATGGATCATTTCACCTGGTACACACTTCCAGTACCCTGCAGAAATAAAGTTACAAAAGGATTAGAGCAATCTATTGTTCTCATTCTGGAAGTCCTCTGCTGCTCCTCTTCCATGCGCTATGTCAGGTGTAAAATGGCAGCACCAAGTCTGTTCAGAGATCATCTCTTGAACACAGCCTCAGCATATGTAAATGAAGAAAACTGCAACTGTGTGTAGGAGAGCTGCTCACAATCACAGCCTCAGTGCTACTTGCTTACAAATACTGAGAATGGGTTTAGAAGCAGTCCTGCTGCACACAGCCTCGTTGCTGTCATTTGTCAGTGACCTAGTGGCAGAAAGACATTGATTTTAAATACAAACATACTCCCCCTCTTGGAGCATGTTTCTTGTTAAATCCATATCTAGGGTGTAACATGAAGCACAGTCACATTACCTGCTTGTTTGTGTCCAGGGATGAAAACAAAAAGTTATACTCACCCGATCCTTGGAGCCGGCTTGCTGTTAGAACAGTCTTTTCAGCGTCTCTTCCCCTCTGTTGCAGCGGTCTAGGAATCCTCAAGTCATCAAGTGTACTGCATGTGAGAATGCAGGGGGACATACCACTACTGCAGCGGAGGAAGACAGAGATTGGAGGGAGCTCTGCCGCCTCAGGGATTCAGCAGATAACTTTTTTTTTTTACTTCAGCCCTAGACACAAAGGAGCAGTCAACCCCTGCTTTTCCCAGGTAGCCCCATAGCAAGGGTTAATATTTTTGCCTGGAATTCTACTTTAAATGCTGCACAAGAATGTAATACCATAAGGAAGCATATTTGTTTGCAAAAGCACATGAACACATTTATGAAATCTACTAAAAGAATAAAGGGCCTTGCTTAATGTTGCAGGACTGACTGTACTAGTCTGTCTGTAGTATGCAATAAGAATACATGATTTGGTTGCAGACAACACAGCCAATATGTCTTTCACACACTTTACATTAAGACCATAGTGAATTTACCCCTGCAGCTATTCATACATCTGATTTTATTTCCTAATCTGTCCTGGTTCATGGAGCACTACCTCTACCCTGCTCTGCACAGTTAAAAATCTATATCTTGTGGATGGAGAGATGCAGACACACGGAGCAGTACGGACAGTCACCTCTTGGCCACCTCCATCCTCACACGAGCGCTCTCCTCTGCCCGGCTTCTTGTCATCTTTGCTCTTGTGTTCTGGAGTCATGCTGCCACCACACCTCACACAGCTCAGCTGAGTGCAGGAAGCAGGAGCACGCAACCTAATGGAATTGCCTGCGCAGCGCCCCCTGCTGGCCGGCTGACCGAAACCAAAATAAAGTAACTGAACATTAGAGCGCCGAGAATGAGATAAACCAGCAAGCTTCGGCGCTATGTATCGGGGCATTTTAACAAGTACTTGTCAAAATGCCCTGCATCGGTCCCGATAACGATGCTAGTACTGGTATCGGGACACCCCTAAACGCTATACTAGAAATTCTGGTCAATAAAGCAGACTGCTGGACTCGCCAGAGACATTAGAACAAGCTCTCTGCAGACTAAAGGAAAAAAAAAAAAAAAAAAAAAAGGGAAACCCACTGTTCAACTTTGCTTTAACTTTAACCTTTTTATCACTCCCTATTTGTAAATCCTGTTACCTCTAGATATAGGGTTGCATGTGACATCACCTCTGCTTCTACAGAACGCAACTGTCACTTGTGCAAGTATGGAAAATATCCAGTGCAAGTAGGGATCAGGGTGGCACTAATGGCAACAGAATGTGCCAAGCACACAGACATGACAGCATTAGTTGCATTTTTTGACAGGTTTCCTTCACAGTCCACTACTGTTTAAAATAAAATCATCCAAAAACAGAACTTAGAAGAAGAAGAAGAAGCACCATGAAAAAAAAAAAAAGAAGAAGGGGTTCTGGTTTTGTGGGATAGTGTGCTGACTCATTGCTCTCTCGAAAAGCTTCAAGCACTGCTGCCATCTGACTCTTCAGGTGTACCAGACGGAGTGTCCTTCGCTGGGTGCTGTGGTTCCTCCCACTAACCACTTACATCACTATGTTCTGTAGTGAAGTAGAAGTCAGTAAAGGAACCAAAGCACCTAGTGGGAGACATGCTGTCAGACACTAGGAACTCTCAGATAGCAGTAGTACCCAGAGCTCACAAAGACAGCCAAGTTTTAAAACACTGAGAAAAAAAAATAGGTTTCTTGAGGGAACAGCGAGAAGAGGCTGTAAGCGGAACTCCCACTGCTGCCTCACGAAACCCTTTTGTTTGTAGAGCCCTTACTAAAGGAAAAAGGAAGAGACAAAATTCATAATTGGTTTGCCCTGCAAAATGTCTGCTGCTCCCCGTTTCATCCAGGTTGCTGAGCAAGAGTACAATCACTACTTTTGAGATCTTCATTTGATTCCTAACGGCTGTGCTTAATGCAGAAGGGGACTAAAGTCTGGGTTAGCATGGACACATAAGGGGGTGGCAGCAGGTAGACAAAGAGCCTGCAATGCATTTACACCATATGCCCAGGTACAAGATCAGGAATAAATAGTAACAATGGGCTAGAAGCAGCGAGGTTGTGCAGGAGAACGGCTTTTGATCACAGAATCAACAATGCTGGTTTATATATGATGGAGCTGTCTTCCAAAGCAGTTTTCTGATAGGATAATTCTTCAGTAATGTAGTAGCTGGGGTAAGAGTGGAAGGGTGCACATATGGACTGCCGCTGACTGATGCCGCCCTTATCAGACTGTCATAAACTTGAATGAGCACAGCAGCTGCATCTGTACAGACACGCTTGGGATTCCTGCCACAAGAATCCACAGGTTATTGCTGCAGGGAACCCCAGCCACCCAATGTAAATGTACATTTCCTCTGCAATACAATAATTACAATAATACAGCTACTGCCCACAAGGCCAATAAACACTACTAAATCTACGTGGAAAATATTTGGTCTAATGACAGGGTCTCTTCAGCATAATCTGCTTTGGTGAACATCAACTGAAGCATTTTTGCTCTGGTTGTTCTTCAATATCCACAACCTTTTTGTAGTACTCCATGGTTTCTGGGTATGGAAGTAGAATATGCAAAATACAGATGAGCAACTTCCAGGCAAATTCTGCTTTCAGTGCAGGGGGTATTGCTTTTACATACCTACTGAGAAGCTGTGGAAGGCTGGAAATGATGGGTCCGTAGCCTGGTGCATTATCATACAATTCAAATAAAGGGGCGGCAACAAGCTTGTAGTTCTTCGGGACTGCAAACAGTGCTAAAACAGAATACAAAAATATATTGAAATTACATTAACATATTACATTTTTAGTGATTGTGCTTAGATCTACAATACAGTAAAGAGACAGTCACCTTGACTATGGGAGGCAAAGTGACAGTCCCTGCAAAGGGCTGACACCCTTGTAATCTACTATTACCTGCGCCCCTCATTGTTCCCTTCTCCTCCTCACCCATCAAGAATACTTGGCACTTTCAGGTATTCAAAAACATGTGCCCTGCTCCCCAGTGACTGGTCTAGTGACCAGTCACGAGGTGCGAGCACTGCCATATGACGGAAGAAGTGACATCAATACTCCCAAAGGTCACCAACACCTCTGATTTTAACAGGAAGGAGGAGCGATAAATGGCAGTCAAGGAGAGAATAAGAGGGTAGGGGTTTGCTCTTCACAGAGACACTAACTTTGGCCTACATGAGCAGGGTGATAATGTCTAACTTATTTGTACATTTTTCTGCAGTGCTAATAGCCACACTTTCATTAACTCACATGTGGAGATGTTCAGAAAGTTACAAAATATCTTTCAACTTGTACATAGTTCAAACAAAGTAAAACAACATGTTTGATGCATAGGAGGCAGCATAACCTGAGCGTACTTTCCTTCCCCACACTCAACTACTGCCCTGATTCCCTGCCAAAGTGCCCTAAAATCATGCATTATACATAACTATCCATGTTCCTACATGACAGCACTTAGCACATTATTTATAAATCATATGCAGTGAACCAGTTACTTCAAAATTATGGGAAAGTACAGGTCAATGCTGGAATAGTATAAAAATGAGGGTTGTAGGAGGAGGTTAGAGAGGCTAACTTGTATTACCATGCAAGACTCTAATCCCCTAATCTGTTGGCTGCAAATAGCAGTGGGAGCCACTTACGGGACACAAGGCTAGCTTCAATGGACTCCCAATACTAGGTAGCAACACCAAATCTATGTCTGTGGTGACTTCACCACCCAAATAGGAGCTAAAAGTGAAATATTAATCAGTGGAGGATACATGGAATGTAAAACTGGCCCATAAATAGGCATTCTGTATAAACTGTTTTGGGGCTTTCACAGCGTCCGATCATGAACAAACTTCAGAAGAAAATATCACTATTTAACCACATGATCTCAGTTGTAATGGCTCAGAGGACAGAAATTCAGCCAAATCAGATCTGCCTGAGCTTTGATTCTCGTACTCTTTCAGTTGAGCAAAATGCTAGAATCTAGCAGCATAAGCTAACACGAGCATGGGATAGTTTCTTCAGGACAGATAAAGATTTCAGGGTCTCCTGGGACAGCTATGTATAAAGTGTGGCAGGCGCTTTAGAACGGAGGAGTGGTGGTTAATATAATATAGAACCACTTTAACTGAATTTACATTTGATGGGGCATCTTCCAAATAGAAGGTGGTATTAAAAAACAAACACACAGACAAGGCACTTACTTATTGAAAACAATGTACAGTACCACAAATAAAACAAAGGTATTCTATTGCCTGGTTAGACTAGCTACAGCCATATATCTGATAAAGGATTCCAGTCAATGACAGTTTGTTTACCTTTCTCCTGCAACTGCACCAGAAACAACTTCTTGTGTTCTTTGGGTTTTGTAATGTGTGCAGGAATATATGGATACTAAAAAGAAAAAAAAAAAGAAAGTCAATTTTTTTTCCTTGTTTTGTGTAATGCAAAACCGGTGTATTTGTTGGAAGGATTTGCACTAACCTGTGGGGGCTCAAAGTTTGGTCTCCACCAATTGCCAATGCAGTCATCAATTACCCAGTCCTGCTGCACCCCATCCTGCCTGCCAAGAATCTATGAGAGAGAGAGAGAGAGAGAGAGAGAGAGAGAGAGAGAGAGAGAGAGAGAGAAAAAAAAAAGCATTTAACAAAGTAACACAGCCAGGCAATTATAGCATTTTTGGGCAGCTACCCTCTCCTTGGTTTCAGATGTTGTAAAGTAGCCACCGCTCCATGCTTGCTCCCATGATAGACTATAACTTCAATACAAATTAGCTAACTAAATGTGAGATTGTATTTCATCACGGGAGTGATCTTGGAGCGGTGACTACTTTACAAACACACACAGGGACCATGGGGAACAAAAGTAGCCACCCTCCAGAAGGAAGGACAGTGTCAGCACCAATTCAGAGATGATTTGAGGATCTACAGCCGAGTGATACACAAATAAGGGACATTTTTGTTAATAATTATAAAAGGTGCTTTATGGCATTTTTAAGGTTTAACCCCTGAGTTTAGCGTCACTTTAAGGCAGGACTCCTGAGCAAACCACTAAACACAGTTGAAATACATATTTACCAAAGGACTTGTAATTCTGTACAATCCTGTCATTTCCCAACCTCAGCCACACTACAAAATCTAGATAAGAGACTTCTTTCCTGGCTCAGCAATGCAACTTCCTATGTCACCTCTCTGCCTTCAGTCTGCCAACAGGAAAATGAATCGGCATCATAACCTCTGTCCAATGAGCAGAGAGCTGACCCAGGAAGCAGTAACACTGACCCAGGAAGTAGCAGTGATTTTCTTGATTAGCAGAAGAGTGTTTGTCCTAAAATTGGCGGGCCAAAATGATAAATCCTTTAGTAGCTAAAACAAAAAACAAATATATAATTAAACTGTGTTATTAGCCGTTTGCTTAGAGCCCCACTCCCAATCTTTACTTGACAGAGAACCAAAACCAACCTCCTAAGACTGACTTTATAGAATAAGCAATCCGTGTGTCTCTAGGGGTAAATAGGATTTTGTAATGTCAATAAACTAGTGTTTTAAATGAAGGTCCAGTAAAAATATCAAGAGGTGAATTATCTTTAAATACTTGGACACTAAGGAAGCAGAAAGTGCTATAGCTGGAAGACTTAACTAGATCCATATAACTGGTCTCATATATGATCAATTTTGTATATAAAAACTTCCCAAGATGCCTGTGAGGTGGGCCGGTGGCCGCTTTCAGAGTACAATATAAACAGCGGGGGATTCCTCCATCCACACTCATTTCTTTGATCAGCATGCGGGTTGAACGAACACAATATATACGTGTATACCCAGCTTTAGTAGTCATTTACTTTTATGCAACTTGCTTCTCAGACAACAAATTATCTCCATGTAATGCTTCCTGTAGATGTAGGAGCAGAGTGGAAAATCTCTGGCATCCTGCAGATGTGGGGTCCGAATTGGAAGTCTCTGGCCTACAGAATTATAGGGTCAGGATTTTGGAAAGTGGACAGCTAGGCTTTGAGCTTTGTATGTATTCACAGCCTACGTTTGCTGATAACATTGAACAAGTGCTTCAAAAAGGAAGACATACTTCTGTCATGAGACGCTTCAACCCTTCCACCTCATCTTCTCCTGGATTCAGTTCACCTCCAGGCCTGCAAAAAGATAAACCAATCATGAAAATTACCGATAACGGATAGTCATAGTGAACATGATATAAAATTAGTGATAAAGCAAACCTGGGGCCACATATTACAAAACTGCCACTTGTATGCCATAGTAGGTATCTTCAAGTATGTTCATCTTCTGGAGCACTCCAGGAGTCCTGAAACCTGGGTCACTCTACTATGTAAATTGCAGTTCATGTAAGGAGACAGTGGCATGTTTCATTATTATTATACAGGATTTATATAGCGCCAACAGTTTGCGCAGCGCTTTCATGGCTCCAGGTGGTAGACCCACATGACACGATGTGGTTTCATCTCTTCTTCCTATCCAGCTAGTCACAACATTGCACATGGACAATTCTATGCAGCTCTATAGCACATGTATGAATGGTTCTTGCAGCCCACTGAAGTCCATGTAGTCAGCTTGTGCATGTCTAATACAATGTCTAGCTGGTTATTAAAAAGAGATATAAAGATACAAGGCAGGATTCACAATGTGGCGAGTTAATGCATGAGCGTTAACATGCACTGCAGTAAGCCAGCCCATTCATTTGAATAGTCTGCCTAAGGCACCAAAAAAGTTACATGCACCATTTTTTGCAACACAGTGCACAACGCATGGAAGTGTATTACTGTGCATTGTGGTAAGCTGAGTGCACTGGAGTGCCATTAACAATTCAGCACAACAGTATAAACCTTGTCTGAGGGGGTCTGCCACCTGGAGTGATAAAACCCCTCATCTGAAATCTTAAACTAATGGAAGGATGAGTAAGGGGCAATATCCAATGAACATTCGTTGGGGGTTTTTTTTGACTGGTCATTTCAACAATTCTAAACTGATGCAGCTAATGAATAATGCTACACACATACACTTTTCATTCAAAAGATAAGTAAAACGAAGTCAATTTACTGATGTAACCCAAAGTTAGTATATAGTGGACAGTAGCCCGCTATATACCGACAGTGCAGATCTGCACTGCAGCCGGGAAGGATGCCAATAATATTCTCGGGATTCACCTGGCTGCCTAATTGAAAGCTGGCTCTGCCTCTCTAGAGCCAAAGCCAGCTGTGCCTGCCCCTCCTTTGTCTGTCCCTTCAGTGAGCGCTGGAAGAACAGGGAAGGGGGAATCTCTGCAGGAAGTGGTGACTGACAGTCATTGCTTTCTGCAGGGAAAAGACAGTCAGCGGTTTGAAAAACCACAGCCCATGGAAATAGCTGAATTGTTATTTTTGTATTCAATCAGTGTCTGCTAATATAGGTGATATACTTGAATAAGAACATAAGAAAATGTTGCCTTTTCAATCAACAAAAATATCAACAGAAGTAATGGTGTACTGTGGGAAAGCGAGTACCATCCGTCCTATGTCATGCCAACAGTAAAGCATCCTGAGACCATTCATGTGTGGGGTTACTTCTCAGCCACGGGAGTGGGCTCACTGACAATTTTGCCTAAGAGCAAAATTTTGCCTAAGAACACAGCCATAAATAAAGAATGGTACAAAAACATCCTCCAACAGCATCTTCTCCCAACCATTCAAGAACAGTTTGGTGATGAACAATGCCTTTTCCAGCATGGAACGCCTTTCCATAAAGGTAAAAGTGATAACTAAGTGGCTTGTAGAACAAAACATCAACATTTTGGGTCCATGGCCAGGAAATTCCCCAGACCTTAAACCCATTGAGGTCAATCCTCAAGAGGCGGGTGAACAAAAAACCCTCACAAATTCTGACAAACTCCAAGCATTAATTATGCAAGAACGGGCTGCCATCAGTCAGGATGTGACCCCGAAGTTGACTGGCAGCATGCCGGGGCGAATTGCAGATGTCTTGAATAAGAATAACACTGCAAATATTGACCCTTTGCATAAACCTAAATGTAATTGTCAATAAAAGCCTCTGACACTTATGAAATGTGTGTAATTATACTTCAATATACCATAGTAACATCTGACAAGAAGATCTAAAAACACTGAGGCAGCAGACTTTGTGAAAAATAATATTTGTGTCATTCTCAAAACTTTTGGCCACGACAGTAGATGTCTAAGGTTTACGTAAGATAGGTTCCACCTGTATAGTTACATAGTTACATAGTATTTGAGGTTGAATAAAGACATACGTCCATCAAGTCCAACCTATTAGGATCTCGTTCTAGGAGTACCTGTACCCCTGTATATTAAGGTCCCTTAAGAAATCGTCCAAAAGTTTCTTGAACAATTCCACATTATTTGCTGAAATCACCGCCTGTGGCAGTGAGTTCCAGACCCTAACTGATCTTACTGTGAAGAACCCCCTTCGCCCCTTGTGGGCTTTTCCCCCAATTTTAGGTGGTGGCCTCTAGTTTTTGTAATGGAGTTAATTTTAAACAGTTTATCGCTAATGTTGCTGCCACCATTGAACATTTTGTACATGGAGATCATATCCCCCCTTAATCTCCTCACGTCCAATGTTTAAATTTAGTAGCCTTGTCTCGTAGCTCTGGTCCTCCATACCCCTAATTAGTTTGGTTGCCCTCCGCTGGACTTTTTCCAACTCAATCATTCTAATCATTGACACCTAAGCTGGAACACTGGATTCTAACTTCATGGATTTGTACAGGTGATAAATGTAACGGTGTATTTACATTTTCCATATGATAAATCTGCATTTTTTTTAATTTAAAATGTTAATTTAGATGATGAATAAACCATGCCAATATTTTGTGTCATTTGATCAATCATATCATGTGACAAGGATCTAACGTTTGCTTGTTCAAATCAGTTGAAAACAAAATCAATAATTTCTGTAAAACAAATTCAACAAATGCTGGTAGCCCAACTTACAGCTTAAAGAATGTGGTTCCCAGTTGCAGGAGGAGGACGTGGGGTAGCCGATGTTCATGAACGATCAGAACCCCTTCTACGGTGCGCCTCATTCCAATCTTATCAAACTCTTCCCGCATCCGCTGGAACCGAGCAGCCACGGAGCTGTCTTTCTCATACAAAGGCTCCTTGGTACCAAATGTGTAATTTGTAAGAGGATACCTGAAAGTACAAAGGGAGCATAACACTCAGATAACACAGACATTCTCTTCACTGCAGGTTTGTGAATCTGGTGAATGACGCCACACATTGCTATCAAATATCATCAGGATCTCAGAACACAGCATGATATATCTGATGCACAAAAACCACAAGTATCAAAGTAATGTCACCACTTCCTAAAGAACTAATATACTTCATCTTCTAAAATACCTGTACAGCCCGGGGGTAATCCAACTGCGGCCCTCCAACTTGGGTGAAATTACATATCCAACATGCAACTGCCTGGAAGTCATGCAGTGCCTTATGGGACTTGTAGTTTCTCCACAGCTGGGGGGCTGAAGTATTGGTGTAGGCCATAGTACAAAGAACTGTCCTCATTCACAAGCAGCAGTTAAAATGTACCCGTGTGTTACCAATCCAGGGCACGGTAACAGTTTCACTTAGGCTGGGTTCACACCTAGGCGTATCGAATATGCGCGTTTGTTGTGCGTTTCGTGTCGCGGTGACAAAAGCATGGTTCCGAGGGCTACTTGGCTGTATCCCAATGGAAACGCGCGACAAAAACGCCCCAAAGAAGCTCCTGTACTTCTTTGGGCGTAGGGCGTTTTGTAGTGCGTTCACACGGCCTGTAATACGCCCAGGTGTGAACCATACCCATAGGAAAGAATGGGATTTCAGTGTTTTGAGCGTTTTGCAGAGCGTAGGAACGCGCTACAAAACGCCCAGATGTGAACCGGGCCTTAACAGGTGGCGGGGGGCCAGGGGAGGTGGCATCCGGCCTCCTCTCCACTTACATGACTGAAGTCCCCGACAGCTGGTGTAGCGGTGCATACACTGGTCTTCCCAGCCCTGTAGTATAGATTGCTCATTGGTCAGCACGATCACATGAACACGCTTACCAATGAAAAGTGCTTTTGAGCCAGGGACCAGGTGCCAGAAATAAGTGCTTCCTATTGGTCATGTGACTGTGCTGACCAATGACCGCTCACCATTTACGAGCATTACATAATGTGGAGCTGAGAAGTCCAGTGCACAGACCGCTACACTGGCTTGCAGGGACTTCAGAAATGTAAGTGCAGCGGAGGCCGGGGAAGGTGGTGAGGTGCTGTGGATAAAATTTTACTGTTTCACAATTTGTGAGAAAGTGAACATATTCTTAACAAGAATAAAAAACAAAAAACCACCAGACAGGCTCTCTGTTGTAGATAAAACACGTTATGTCTCTTATGAAATAAAACAAATGTACCTGCCTGTTTGCAATCTTCTTAAAGCTCATCACGCACATTAAAATCTAACTGTACAATCTCCTTTAGCTCTGCCGACATCCATGTAGTACAAGGGCCAGTCTGATTGGATACACATTGATTAGAACGATTAGGTAGGCCCTTATATTACATAGTTTTGGTAAATCTAAAGTTGAGTGTACGAAGATTGTATAGTCAGACTGTAACATGTATGGTGATCTCTATAGAGGGACAGCCCGCTGTCAATCAGGTAGCGGAGTGGATCTGGACAGTATTGTCGGGATCCATCCCGGCTGCTGCGCTCTCAGCATATAGCAGGCAATAGCCCACTATATACTGAGCTTTGGGTCACCAGAGGACATTGGTAGCTTTTAAGGAGGAGTGGGCTCCCTCCAGGCATACCTGTGCCTTTAAGGAGTGGGCTCCCTCCAGGTATACCTGCATCCAATTTATCAACTGCTTAAAAGGAGAATTTCCACTCGTCCTCATAGTTAGAGCCGACCTGTGACAAAGAAGCTGTCACAGGTCGGCTCTATCGATCAGGAAGTGAGCAGAAACATGCACCGACCACTTTCCGATCGTCTCCCTGCCGTGAGCGGTGAGTGAAGGAACGAATGGGGGAGGGGTGCGGGCACAGTTGGCTCTGCCTCTAGATAGGCAGAGCCAGCTGTCACTCACACAAGCTGGGTGGATCTTGACAGTAATGTCAGGATCCGTCCCGGCTGCGGCGCTCACAGTATATCAAAGGCAATAGCCCGCTATATACTGAGCTTTGGGTCACGGGAGGAAGCTAATATATGTCCTCCCGTGACCCTAAAGAGAATTATGGGGAAAAAAACTTACCCCATAGTTCTCTTCTAAATATGCTCCAATATGGAGACTCACACCACACAGAGGAGCCTTGACGGGACAGTGTAACGTCCTCATATTTTGCAAAAGTTGTGCAACTAAAACCTCTGTTTTAACGCATACTGTTAGACAGAGCAATCTGTTTTGTTGCATGCTGGCCGGTAAGTGTGCTGGGAAACTTCTGTGTTTCATATTAGACAGAAATAAAATCAGACAGAAATGTAAAGTGGAAGCAAAACTGTTATTTAGGAGCATGGGGGAGGGTTAGACCCCCTGTTTCCCACTGGGAGCGTCTGCCTTTTATTTGTACTGGTGGCCGCTATCAGTGGAAAATCTTCCAATGGGGGCAACTGCCTACCCATCACAGATTTCCTCTAACTTCCTGTTGTGGCTCTGGGACCGGAAGGGAACCTTTAGCAACAGGGCAGCAAAAATAAATAACGTGAAAGGGAGTTTAACCCTTCCCTTATCTATCAAAATACTAAAAATACCTGCTATAAATATTTCACTCTTCCCCCACTCCATATATCACTAATGAAGATGAGGTCCTCTGAACATGCTTGGGTGAGCACACGGTCACTGCACCGTGCACAGCTTTACATGCACGGTACATAATAATAACAACGGTATAATAATAATAATGGTGATGATAATGTCAGAGGGTCCCCTCCCCCCGGCTCACAGGTTAATAGTCCGCTCCAGGGTGAGTGGCTTGGTCTGAGGCAGGTACTTATTCCCGAACTGGTTCACCCCTCTGGGCCAGCCTGTCTGCGAGCGGTTCGGCGGAATCACCGACATGCTGGTCGGGGTGGAGAGCTGCTGTCTGTGCCCCGATGCCACCTCTTTTCCGAGTTTTGAGCGCTCAGAACCCCGACAATGGTGCGGCGGAAGAAGAGGAACGTCACTTCCGGTCGCGGGGAAAGCACGTCATCGTAGTGCGCTGCAAAGTAAAGGAGTATGGGAGTTGTAGTTCTAGCGGTTTAAGAGTGAAGTAATGAGTGGAAAGAGGAGACAGGCAGGAGTGAGGGGTAGTGGTGGGAAGAAGGCAAAACAGCCGGTGAAGGCTGAGCTATCAGTGTCACTGGGGGAAAAGACTGGAAGAGAGAAGGTGAGGAGAGCCTGGGAGAGCGGGGAGACTGCGCAGTGTGGTGAGTAAGGGAACACGTGGGGGGAGAAGAGTACCGGAGAGGGGGGGAGAGAAGGGCCTCTGAGGCGAGGGCGGTGGGAGAGAAGAGCCTCTGAGGCGGGTGCGGTGGGGGAAGAAGAGCCCTCTGAGGGGAGTGCGGCGGGGGAAGAAAAGCCTCCTGAGGGGAGTGCGGCGGGGGAAGAAAAGCCTCCTGAGGGGAGTGCGGCGGGGGAAGAAAAGCCTCCTGAGGGGAGTGCGGCGGGGGAAGAAAAGCCTCCTGAGGGGAGTGCGGCGGGGGAAGAAAAGCCTCCTGAGGGGAGTGCGGCGGGGGAAGAAAAGCCTCCTGAGGGGAGTGCGGCGGGGGAAGAAAAGCCTCCTGAGGGGAGTGCGGCGGGGGAAGAAAAGCCTCCTGAGGGGAGTGCGGCGGGGGAAGAAAAGCCTCCTGAGGGGAGTGCGGCGGGGGAAGAAAAGCCTCCTGAGGGGAGTGCGGCGGGGGAAGAAAAGCCTCCTGAGGGGAGTGCGGCGGGGGAAGAAAAGCCTCCTGAGGGGAGTGCGGCGGGGGAAGAAAAGCCTCCTGAGGGGAGTGCGGCGGGGGAAGAAAAGCCTCCTGAGGGGAGTGCGGCGGGGGAAGAAAAGCCTCCTGAGGGGAGTGCGGCGGGGGAAGAAAAGCCTCCTGAGGGGAGTGCGGCGGGGGAAGAAAAGCCTCCTGAGGGGAGTGCGGCGGGGGAAGAAAAGCCTCCTGAGGGGAGTGCGGCGGGGGAAGAAAAGCCTCCTGAGGGGAGTGCGGCGGGGGAAGAAAAGCCTCCTGAGGGGAGTGCGGCGGGGGAAGAAAAGCCTCCTGAGGGGAGTGCGGCGGGGGAAGAAAAGCCTCCTGAGGGGAGTGCGGTGCGGGAGAAGAGCCTCTGAGGGGAGTGCGGTGTGAAAGCAGTTGTGTCTGCAGAGCCCCTCTAAGAAGAGTTCAGTGTGGAAAAGGGGATAGCGGGGATATGGAGTTCTGACTATGGCTCTGTGTTGAAGCTTACACATGGGTATTACCACCCACCCACCTTAGGAACAAACTGAAATCTATATGATACCAAAGCCTCTGGGTTCTTAGTTCTGGGTACCAGATCCAAACATGTCTACTGTTACACGTGTGCACATGGACATTCATTGCAGAATGTTGGTAAAGTTGTCATCAGAAAAGCAGTAGAGGGGAATATCTCCCAATGAGGACAACTGCCAATGGTGGGGATAAATCCGCCCGCTTCCTGTTGTGTCTGTAAGACAGAGAGTGAGGGTAAATCTCTCCAATGGGGACAAGGAGAGCAATGAAACCCTGACTGGTTCTAGCCTTACCCCATTGGATGTAAAACTAGAAGAATAGCTTTTAGCTGGACTTCCACTTTGTTATATGAGTTATGCCTTGTGATGTCATATGGTACATTCTATGAACATGTTGTACCCGTGTCAGGGCTTTCTGATGTATAAACTAACAGCATGTTTTCTATCCCCTTTACATGTTCTTCTGTAGGCCCTGTGATTGTGGATTCTGTCCCCTTCCAGCACTGTGTGATCCGTTCTTTCATTGAAAACTCAGAGTTCCTGGATGGGTTGAAAGATGAACTACTGGCTTTGAATTTCCAGGACAAATCCAATGACTTGTACAAATTTCAGCAGGTAGGTCAACAGTCTGGGTGGGAACAGGAAAGGGGGAAATGCAGACCGATTTGTTTATAGGGGGTCTCACTTAAACGCCATACATAGAACAATAGACCATGACTCCACGATTGCATAGAACGGGGCAGGAAATATTGGCACCAGAGTGGTGATGGAACTATGAATTCCATCATTCCTCTGCCTCTGGGAGTCATGCCTGTCGGTCTTGCAATGCCTCATGGGACTTCCACAACAGCTGGAGTGTCAAGGTTGCCTACCCCTGGCATAGAACAAGTGGCGACCTGGTGTTAGTCTGCCATTTTTGGAAGCACTAAAACTAAACACCAGTCATATATAAAGAGAACTTGTTTATTCTGTTGATGATTAAAGCTGAACTCCAGGAATTATTTATTTTTTAAGCTTACATTGGGCGTACCTGTTTACATGTAAATATCCATGTGTCACATCCTGAGGGCCTCTGGGGATGCTGAAATTCAATGTAGTAGTTTGTGCTACATACAGTCACCACTGTCCTGTTCTGAGTGCTGCTGGAGCAACTTGCCATCTGTACAATGAACACAAGGAGACTCCCGCCCCTGTACCGCCTCCATTTAGCAAATGTCAGTGAATACAAGGCGTTTTCTGATTGGATGACGCGGTGATCATGACATAATCGGCCCCTCATCTCTGCCTCGCCATTTTGTATTCATTGACGTTTGCTAAATGGCGGAGGTACGGTAGTGATCAGCTCCTTTTGTTTAGTGTACATACCGCAAGTCTCTCCCGCAGCACTCAGGACAGCACCGACTGTATGTAGCACACACTATTACAGTGATTTCAGCATCCCCAGTGGCCCTCTGGATGTGACACATGGAAAATTATATGTAGCCAAACTAACCAAATGTAAGTCTGTAAAATAGATAATTCCTGGAGTTCAGCTTGAAATTGGAAGTAAAGTGCTGTGAACTGAGTGGGGTTTTTTTCGCCCTAAAGGTGCCCATACTCCTGCCGATTATCGTACGATAATCGCGCGTGATCCCGTGATCGTACGATAATCGGCAGGTGTATGGGCAGCGTGCGACCGCTTCTACTGTAAGGTCGCACGGCTTTCGTCTTCCGATCACGATTGAAAACCTGCCGATTATCGTACGATTTTCAGCGGGTTGGTGGAGTGGTCGGGGGACGAATGCTGCACAGGCCAGTGTGCGCATGTGCACACTGCCCGCTCAGCACTGCAATCATCGGAAGCCCTCACCTCAGTGAGGAGGCCTCGCGATGATCGCAAATACGATCCAAGCCTATCCAAGATGGGCAGATCGTACGAAATTTTAAGGCGCTTACAATCATCGCACAACGAAAGTCGTGCAATGGTTGTAAGGTGTATGGTCAGCCTAATAATGGCACACTTACCTTACAGGTGTGCTCTTCTCCAATGCTGTTGGATCGATCTTCAGTCCCCGCTGTCCCCATCTCTGCCACCGACACTTCTGTGTTCTGTGTGATCCCTCTTAGGCCATTGGGTGGCCACTGATGATGTACATCCTCCCCATTAACAGGATCTTAGAGGATGATGTACACACTTGACCCATTAACAGGATCTTAGAGTTGCTATGAATGGGCTGAGTGTGTACACACACTGGGTACCCACTGGGCTAAATGTGTAAACACACAGGCATAACAAGGCAACGCACTCCCCTGCTTCCCTGCTCTTTCCTTTACCCTTCTCCAAGCCAGTTGATGGCCAGCTGCTAGAAACTGCTCTGTCCCTTGTGCTCTTGTACTGGACAAAAAAAAATTTAAGTTCCCCCAAAATGTAAAGGTAAATTTTTTTTTTTTTTTTAAAGTCCCCCCATACATACACGCATGCAAACAGGCGTCGGGGGCGCATACGTGCGAAAACGATGATTTCGCCCATTACGCCGCACATGTTACATATGGTCACGAACGTCAGAATGAGAGCAATAAGTCTAGGGCCATCAATCACTGATAACACTAAACTGATGAGCTTTTAAAGCGTTACCTATGGTCAATTTTGGGTATGGTGGTGTTTTGCAATTTCGCGGGTGCGCGCAATTTTAAAGCATGACATGTTTGGTGTCTATTTACCCGACGTGAACCCGTCTTTTATATTTTACCAAAAATATGGGTAATTATCATTGTTTCCTAACATAATGGGGAAAAAAACGTTTTTTCCCAAAAATTTCAATAATTTTTCCTTAATATGCCCGCAAAATAGTCCAAGCTGGATTTTTTTTTTATGGATTCCGCACGTTCGTGGCTATAGTAATAGCTGCAAACGAGCAGAATCCATGCAGGTAAAATATTTTTGTGTGCCGCGTGGTCTTCAGCACGGAAAACACCGATGTGAATGGAGCCTAAGTATTTTTTATAAGGACAGATCACTGTAAGGGTACTCAGAAAAAAAATTTGATTATGCCATGTTGCCTGCTGCAACAAAACATCAAAAAGGTACAAAATATTGTTTTAAAGTTCTTTTTCAGAATGCTATGTGAACACAAAACAAACGTATAGAGGGGTTTTACCAACTTTGACTGCAAAAGTGGAAATGCACTTTTATGCAAAGTAGTTTTCATGTGTCTGACAGTAGGAATACTATGCCACCCTGTGGACACAATTTACCTTGCATTAGGGTTCTCCTGTTTTACTTTATGCCGTATTATTAGTAGTCCCTGCTGATATTTATTTGTTTACAGTCAGAAGATTTAAAGAGCAGAAAGGAGCCACACATTAGTGCCCTGAGGTAAGGCAATCTGGTACATTTCTTCCCTTCATATGTCTACTCTTCATATGTTGTATCTCAACTGTGTCTGCACTTAGGAACAAAGGACTTCTATGATATACACTGAGTGGCCAGATTATTATGACCACGTGACGTTTGTAGGCAAATTAGCTATAATTTTGCGCTGAAGTTGGTAGACTTATTATTATGTATCAAACAACAACAAAAAAGTTGGTGTTATAGGGCTACAACAACTAATCGATTAAATTGATTATAATCGATAATGAGAAGCGTTGGCAACGATTCTCATCATCGATTAGGTGATTTACAATTAGTTGCCGACGCTCTGCTCCTCCGTTCTCCTTCTTGCTGGTGCTAGCTGCAGCGGTTTGTGTCCCTTTCAATCCCCGATGCTCTCCCGCCTTTATCGGCAGAGGCAGCAGGGACACAGACTGCTGCAGCTGGCACCAGCGGGCTGCTCCCCATGCCTCCTCTGTATCTACAGGTTGGGAATCATATCCAGCCTGCTATTGGCTATTTTACACTGAAGTAAACTTTATCTGTAACGCTGCATTTGTGTATTTTTTATTTTAAATAAATGATATTATTAATCTTTTTTTTTTCTTCTAATTTTTATCCGATTAATCGAAGTTAATAATCGGCTAACTAATCGATTATGAAAATAATCGTTAGCTGCAGCCCTAGTGGTATACAGACTTGATTTAACTGGTTTTTTTTTCCATGGTCTCAAACATGATTGTTTTTTTTTAATGTCCTCCAAAAAAAATCTATTCTGTCTTCTCCATGTTCTAGGAAAGTTCTGTTTGAGCACTTCCGACAATGGCTCTCAGAGGTGACAAAAGTGGATCTGGAGTCCACTGTAGATATATCATGTGCCCAGTACAATTACACAGGTATGAGACACAAACATGAGGTTACCAGTCATTTACTGATCATGTTGAATGCGATTGTTGAATGGAAGTGTGTTTCTTTGTATACACCTGTAGAAAAATGTTCTTTTGCTTATTAACAAATGTGCCCCATACTTGTTTTATCTGATAAAGACAGAGCAGGTTAGAATGGGACATTGTCAGCCTCTGAACTGCTATAATATATTGGAGTGAGTTGTCCATGATGGATTGTTGACTGCAGCTTATCATATTGGATTTTGGAGCACACACAAACTCGCATGTTCAAAGACTGAACACTCCCAGCTTAGCATGTCACGCTTTATCAGCAGGGGGTGCAATTACAATTGGGATCTTGATCACAATGTAGAATAGAGATGGCTGATGAGGCCTGATAGTCTTTTTACTTCCCAGACATTTTTGTTTGTTTTGGGACAAAAGAGTGAAGAGAAGTCAGAACCTCTGCTGTCTGCACCCCCATTTCACTCCCTATGTGGTCAATGGAACAAAAGTTGAGGGGAATCCTTCCAACAGGAACACGGACATCAGTACAGAACTGACAAAGATTCTATCCCTCCCCTAGTCTATCCACAGTGAACACAAAACTTTAAACATTAACATCTATATGAGCATGCTAGTCTTAGTATACAAATGCTATTAATATACAATGTTACTGGGTTTTTTAATGTATAACTTTTGTAATTAGTTTCTGCAGGTTATCAAATGTGACATGCTTAGTTTTACCCCAGTCACTGTGGTCATGCTTTACTACTCTTTCCTAAATGCCAGTTTGTATGTCTGTTTAGCCCACTAATGATTTTGCTGCTAAATGAGGGGCCATGCACTACCTAAGGGTGCTAGTGTGGAACTAGCACCCTTTTGACTGCTGTTTGGCCGGCTCGATGCGGAAAGCCGGCTTCCCGGCCAATCAGCATAAAGCCAGCCAACAGCATGGAGTCGGCTTCCCGACCAATCGGGAAGCCGGGCCGTGGATAATGACCCGCCCCCGGCTTCCTGATTGGCCAGAAAGCCGGCTTTCTGGTCAATCAGCATGGAGCCAGCTTCCCGGCCAATCAGGAAGAGGGATAGCGGGTAATGACACGCTGCCCGGCTTCCTGATTGCCCGGTAAGCCAGCTCCATGCAACCCGAAGTATTGGCGAGTACAGACATATAAATATCGGTACTTGTACTCGATACCGAAAAAACGGCATCGGTGCACCTCTAGTTAGGCTAGTATGAAACTCTCCACAATGACCCATTTAAAAAAAGCAGACACTCCAAGGGGATTTTTTTTTTTCCCGCAATTTTTTGAAAATGAAGAAATGTGTCCATATTGAGGAGGTTTAAACAAAGAGCTTGGTAATAGTGCACAAGATGCAATAAATGTACAGGTCATAGAGGGAGGATGGAGATGAAGGGGTTAATGTACAGATAAGGGAGATGAAGGGGTAATATATATCAGAGAAGAGATCAAGTGGAGCTAACATATAGGAGAGGGTGAAGGGGTTAAAAAATTTATTTTACTTTTTTTTACTGCAGCTCGTTTTTACTTTAGGAAGGAATTAATGGATAACACATCCATTCATTGCTTCCTTTACTCTCCCTTGTTTTTGATGTAAGAGGAAAGGGAGGACTTGGCAATGCAAACATTGCCATGTGATCTCTGTGATAACAAATCACAGCGATCACACGGCACAGAGCCAATCGACTGTCTAGTGACAGCGGAAGCAGTGGCTGCAGCCGCGCGCATACAAGTGTTCATGGGAGGACGTACAGGTACGTCCTCTCAGTACAATGTGCCAGTGGTTAATAACATCACTGACATAATGGCCTGTGTACAGATGTCTAAAATGCCAGAAAAGTAATATATGTCCTGTATTAGTTTTCCATTCAATTCACCATAGATGTATCTTTTCTCTGATGTCACCGCACAGATATTTTGCTCTGTCATGATGATGAACTGGAAGGGAGAAGATTTGCTTTTATCCTTTATTTGGTTCCAGAGTGGACAGAGGAAGATGGGGGATCACTGGACCTCTACAGCACTGATGGCAAGTCAGATCTCAACTGCACTCTTTATTCTGTGCTGCTTTATAATCAAACTACTTACATTTGCAGACAATATATATGTAAAACTTTGGGCTGATAGAATGCAAAATATAGGTTCTGTTTGTTGAGATTCATGCAGACAATGCATAATAATAACTTCAGTTATCCTTTGTAAGAACCTGATATATGGCCTCCATTCATAAAACTCTTCCTCCCTTCACAGAGAAGGCACAACCTGGTCATATTGTCAAGTCTTTGATTCCATCATGGAACACACTAGTTTTCTTCGAGGTCTCTCCAGTCTCCTTCCACCAGGTATGTGTGAAGACCAGTAGCATGTTACTCCTTCCAAAAGCTTTAATTTTACATTTCTTACCGATATCTTTATAACGCGCCATATTCATCTCTGGTATTCCTTTGTTACTGCTGTTCTGTTGTCACTGGTGGATTTTTAGGTGTTTTACCTCTGTATACTGAAATCCTGATTCCATGCCTGTAGGTACCGTGGTGGTTTGACAATTGTTCCAATCAATGATGTACTGTATGCTGTCTGCTACAAAGACTGCCATATGTTATGTTTGTTTATATAGTTTTTTTAGGTTAATTGTACTTTACGAGATGCATTATAGGACTGCAGCGGCAAACAATGAAATGCTGTGTAGCATAGCAAACCCCATATGGTGCCAGGAAATACCTCTGTTACATGCCAACTATTCAAAGCAATGATGGAACCCTCTACTTATGGCAATTTTCTGAAGTCACCTCCTCATCTCAGAGAGCAATGACTTGTCATCTCAATAGGTCACTGAGGCCTTGCATTGTGGAACATGGGGCTAGAGAAGTTGGTATAGAGGGGTCTCAACTGGGCTATTTTATTTTATTTTTATATTTTTATCAGATAGGTGTTGACGTTTCTTTTTTTTTAACCTGACTTGTAGCAATACAGCTAAAATCTGATGGTATACCATGTTTTATATCTCCACTCTTTGTCAAACATTTTTGTAGAATGTTTGGAGACATGTGAGATGTTAAAGTGAACCTAAACTCTGTATACACACGCACTCCAACCCTTCAATCTTCTCTCCTTACATCCTAATGTTTCTAAAATAACACTTCAGCTGGAGCTGTTCTGGGCTCCCTTCATCTCTGGTGCATGCGGTCAGCTGCAGTGCATGTTTGGAGTCTGTGTGCAAACCGTACTACTGATCAGATAAACCCGGACAGCCAATTAGTAGTGCTGTCTGTGCACAGATTCCACCTTGCATGTGGCTGAGCACTGGGAACAGAGGTAGAGGAAACCTGCTGTCATTACAGCGCACATTAGGTTCTAGCGGAAACTTCTAAGAGGGTATTTTTCTCTTAGATTTTCTATTACTTCCTGCTTCTTCAAAAAAAGACAGGGGTTTTAATTAGGGATGCACCGATACTAGTATCGGTATCGGTGCAGATACCGAGTATTTGGGCGAGTACTCGCCCAAATGCTCCAATACCTTTCCCGATACCGGAACTTCCGGTCAGAGGGAGATTTCCTCTGACCGGCAGTGCCGCGAGGGAACATGGAGCCGGGAAGCTAGCTCCATGCTGATTGGCCAGGAAGCCGGCTTCCCAGCCAATCGGTTTTGAGCCGGCCAAACAAATCTGATAATATGGCGACATGACCACCACCCTGCAGACAAATCATTCCCCTCACATAGATCCATAGCAGCAGTCATTACCGCACCAGTCCCTTGGCCAGCTGGGCAGACACCGCTCTCCGGGATCTGCCCACGTCTATTGTGTGCACAGCGCCCGCGTGATGGGCCCTCAGCCTGGTACTGCGCATGCACAGGATTTCTGAATGAGAGCGCTGGGCAGTATGCGCATGTGCAGTATCCGTCTGAGGGCTGATCACGTGGGTGCTGTACACACAGGAGACGTGGGCAGATCCCGGAGAGCTTGGAGAGCGGTGTCTGTGCAGCTGGCCGAGAGACAGACTGCTGCTAAGGATCTATGTGAGGGGAATGAGGTGCCTGCAGGCTGGAGGTCGTGTCACCATATTGTCAGATCTGATTGGCTGGGAAGCCGTGGTGGGGGTCGTGTCACCATATTGTCAGATCTGATTGGCTGGGAAGCTGACCAATCAGCATTGAGCCGGCCAAACAGAATGGAGTTGGGTTCCCGGGCAATCAAGAAGCCGGGCGGTGGGTAATGACACACCGCTTGGCTTCTTGATTGACCTGGGAAGCCGGCTCCATGCTACCGGAAGTATCGGTACTCTGTATCGGCAAGTACCGAAATATAAATATCGCTACTGGTACTCGGTACCGAAAAAAAGGTATCGGTGCATCCCTAGTTTTAATAATTTTCCTACTTTATCCATAATGTATGTTAGCTGTTTATACGCTTAAGTGGTTTTGTCTTATTTTCATTCATATGCATCACTGTAGTTTTATGCTTTGCCCTTAAAAGGTTTCAGAGGTGCTGTCTGAGGGAAAATGCCGTCTGTCAGTAAGCGGTTGGTTTCATGGTTCATCCCTGGAGAGACCACCACGCTCACTGGATCCTGTGCCTGCCCGCAGCCCCCACATCCCCTATGACGTAAGATCCTTTCATCTCTGCCTAATGCAATGAATGAAAGCTGGTAATCTACCTGCTGACCTATGCCTGTCTCCACAGCATGAAATCTTGTATGAGTGGATAAATCCAGTGTACCTGTCAGTTGAGTATCAAGCTCAGATTCAAGAGGAGTTTGAAGACACATCTGAGATTCTCCTGAAGGACTTTCTTAAGGTTTGTGCTACACCTCTAGAAAAGAGAGTGAGAATGTCACCTGAGGGTAGAAGGAGGTGGTGGTATGCACTAGGCAGGAGACCTTTTCTCATGGCTCCTACTGCTGAGAAGTTGAGTCATCCCACTCGCACTCTCCACCAGTCACTTGTTCTGAGAGCAGCTTAAAGATCAGAGCTGTATTACACAAGAAAAAAATCAAGTTCTTCCAGGGTCCTAAGCAGGCGCAGAAATTAATTTTGTGACTGAAAACAGGTGATTGTGGTGATCGGCGGAAGATGACCCTACCTCCTATAATCCCTGTAGTAAGCTTAGATAGTTGTTTGACTCAACACATTTAGATTTCCCAAGGATCTGCTACAAAGTACACTTTTTGGAAAGTGAAAATGATAGAAAGCAACATTTACTTCAATAATTACAACGTATTGCATATGAATATTTTGTATTCTCATTTTCAGCCAGCAGTGGAGCTCAAGGTTCCTTTTCACATTTTCCAGGCTAGCCTAAAAAAACTGCTTATAGGGCTCAATAGTTCAAACTCTCCATTGAAAACACCAGTTGTTTAGTCAGACCAGTGACTCTACGCCAGGCTCTTCCTCCCTCCCTCCCAGCTTGCCTGTTAAGAAGATTCACAGAGAAACTCTGAAAGTAAACATCTACTGCTGTGCTGTTAGAAAACCCATAATCCTTTGTGACACCGTTGTCATTGGTGCACCCCGTACTATATGTTTATTTTTATAACACAGATTTTATATTAATAGGAAAAAACAGATGTAAAATAGTTTTAAAAGGTATAAACTATCAAATACAATTGACTTAAAACCATTTTCCCAGAAACTCAGTCACAGCTGCGGGTCTGTGTGATTAAAGTGACACTAGACTACGGAGTTAAATCTAAAACTTGTATTCCGGTACCTTTAACTATTAACACAAATGTAGCTTATTTGTGCATCACAGAGGGGAACACTTCCATTTTACCTATATATATATTACACACATTTTTTTTTTTTTATAGAAAAGAGTGAGTCAAAAAGACTGCATCAATGTATCTATCTTATTTGTGCATTACTTTTAAGAAACATTTGAAGATCCTCAAATCATCTCCGAATTTGTGACGACACCGTCCTTCCTTCTGGAGGGTGGCTACTTTTGTTCCCCTTGGTCCCTGTGTGTGTTGTAAAGTAGCCACGGCTCCAAGCTCTCTCCCCTGATGAATTACAATCTCACATTTAGTTTATTCATTTATATTGAGATTGGTTACTTTATAACACACGCAGCGGTGGTTACTTTCAATCACACACAGGGACCATGGGGAACAAAATTAGACACCCTCCAGAAGGAAGGACAGTGTCGGCACCGATTCAGAGGATCTACAGCCGAGTGATACACAAATAAGATACATTATTGCTAATAGTTCGGGTACTTCACTGGATTTCTAAGATTAAACTCCTGAGTTTAGTGCAACTTTAGGTAATGTGTGAGTTTTAGTCATGGTCTCTAAAACACAGACTGTAGTATACAGCTACGTATTCCATATCATTTGATCTATATTCTTGTGTTCATTTTCTAGGAAGAGAAGTTCAGTGAGGTTTCTGCAGCACTACAGACACGGAGTGTCGAATGGGAGCTGCTGGGTCCCCCCAACAGAAGGTAAGTACCAGACTTTCGGCTTGCTTCTTCTGTGCCCATCGTGCTTTTTTTCTTACCGCTTTGATTGTGGTCTAGGCGCTACGAGAGGACAAAAGGTGACCTTCCAGATGTTCTGAGGTCCTGCATGGAGCTTCTGAAATCGGAGGCCTTCTTTCTGCTACTGTCCAACCTCACAGGTCTGAAGCTGCATTTCCTGGCAGCCAGCAATGATGAGTCTGATGAAGGAGAGGGATCCTCTGAACCAAATGGCAGGACCTCTGCACAAGGGGATGACAGCGATCATACAGCTCAGGCAGGAAGTGAGTAAAACATGCTTTGTGTATTGCTTGTTCAAGGAAATCTTTATTAGTGTTTTTTTTAATCTGCTACGGAGATTATATGAACTGCATATTGACATGATCTTTCAGCACCAGTAATTTGGCACTCTGTATTTAGGCCCAGAAATATCCAAGTTTTTTTTTTTTTTTTGATGCTTAACATTTACTAGCATTTATTACTATTAAAGGTAGTATCTGTTGTCATGGTAATGTAACTTTCAACTGAAATTCAGAGTTGGTGTTAGGCAGGGGTGGGCAAACTCCGGCCCTCTAGCTGGTAAAACTAGAAATCCCATGATTCATCTGTCTCTGGGAGTCATGCCTGTGGCTGAGAGAATCTTGCAATGCCTCGTGGGATTTGTAGTTTCACAACAGCTGGAGGGCCGTAGTTTGCCCACCCCTGTGTTAGGGGATGAAAGCAGACCTTCACTCAAATATGAGACTTAAAGCCACACTCTGAGTAAAATGTTAATTTACATACCGCACTGGGTGTGATCTTTAAAAACTGTGTGTTGCGTGCACAGGGCTTCTGCAAAGTATAACAATCTTACTTGCAGCACGCCATCCCCTGCACACAATGCCCAGCTTTTAGACACTGGAGAGAGGGAGAGATACGACCCAAGCTGTACCGTACCCCCTCTTCATTATAGTCAATGCAGAACATTTCTTGCATTTGTTTTTAAAGAATACAAGACATTTTGTGATTGGAGGAGGAGAGATGTCACATCCCTGTCCCCTCTTCTCCATGAAAATGTTTTACTTGTTTTTCATAGGTTGATAAATTGCATACTGATAAAACATGCAGTGCTGTGACTTTGTACCTCAAGAGTCTGTCTTTATTTGTGTTCTGTGATGTAACCTATTGGGATGTGGTACCCCTTTGGCCAACCCATCTTTTCAGTAGAAACTCACACACATGAAAAATAGATTTTGTTGGAGAGGAATCCTAATATAAATTTAAGAACACAATAAATAAGTACACTTTGAAACAAGTGCATGTATCCATTGTGCTTCCCTCTGCTATGCTAACCCATGGTTACAGTTGGACTTTATAGTTTTGCCATAGACTTTCTCTTATAGTTTTTTTTTTTTTTTTAATAGATCTCCGCATTGTGGGCAGCCATGGTTTCTGATTATATTTCCAAGTTGTTATTTGAGGGTTTTTAGATCTTTTTCCAACGAAACATATATCTGTTAAACTTTTATTGAAAGTGGCTGTGTCTCCAAGCAAAGCCGGGCTACACACAATCTTGGACACATCGCAAGTACAAGCAGCTTATCCTGTAGTTCATTATCTCACTGTAGTCTGATTGCAGACAGAGCCATATGAGAGGACATCCCTGAACATCTGACACATCACACATGCCAAAAGACCAGTCACATAAAAATGACTTTACAAGAATACGACAGATGGAGTGTACACTAAAGATGCATGATGGTTTCCATGTTTGTCTGTCTATTACTAGGATAGAGATTGACACAGTCTTCTGTCCTCCCTATAGGCGAGAGAATTCCTGTATGCTCTGGAGAGCTGAGGCACTGGGAACACGGCCACTACACCATGATTTATGATGATGATCCCGAGAGACAGGCGTTTGCTCTGGATCTTTTGTGGTTCTGTGGATGTGAAGGTTGGTAATATCCGTTTCCTTTAATGGATCTGTCTAAATATCTGCTACTCCTCGATCTAATAATACAGTAGGCCCCGGCATTCATATTAATTCCTATGTGACTACGACTGACGTCATTTTTATTTTTGCTTTAGATTGGGAGTCGGAGTATGGAGGATTCACCTCTTACATTGCTAAGGAGGAGGATGAAGAGGTAAACATGACTATGAAAAACCGTATTGAAGGAAACCTATAATGACAAAATACCAAAGATGTCATTGCTGATTTGATTTCCTGAAAATGCTAGTTGCCTGACATTACAGCTTATCACTGACCTTGAACAAACGTGTAGATAGTGAAGGCTATGGAAAGTCAGAGCTCCCGATATGCATACTTGTTCCAGTTCAGTGTCTCGGGAATCTACAACTAGAACTGAGGCTACTGAATTAATATAACAGCCAGGTACCTAGAATTTCCTCCCTTCTCCCCTGAGCTGTTCTGTTCATTGACTGGAAGCAAGAATAGAAACTCTTGTGTGTAAGGTTGAGGGCTTGTTCACACCAAATCCGGACCAGATCTGGATGAGTTTCTGCATGTGCAGTGCGCTTTGACGCATTCCGGTCCGTTTTTTTTTGTTAAAGCCTAAAATGGGCTTTCAGGTGAAGTCCAGTGCATTCCAGGAGAGTTTGCATGCGTTTTAGTGCATTCCAGAGCAGAAACCATAATGCCTGCTCCAGTTTTCCCACATGCTCTGGAACTGAACACTGTGGTGTGAACTAGAGCCCAAAATACCATTGGAATGCATTGGATGCATTTTTGATGTGTTCTGCAACGGCTCTGCTCCGCACTTGGTGTGAACAAGCCCTGAAGCTGACATGTCGGTGCTTACCCTGGGCTTGTTAAATGGAATTTTTAAAACAATGTGAAAATATATTCCCTATTTCTGCTGGTTGCAAGTACCGGACATATGTTTAGGGATTAAAACATATGGAATTGGTCATTTTTAGGCCTCATTCACACGGGGCTAACTTGGTGCTTACACGTCTGTTTTGGGCCATTCCTGGGAGGGACAGGTGCTGCGTGTAATTGCGTGGAGCAGCCGTTCTTCCCTATGGGCCCTTGCGCTGTCAGACGCACACCTGAACTGCACATCCGTGCGGGTCCAGGTGTCCTTGCTCGGATGCAGGCAGGATCCATCCTGTCTGAGTACGGACACCTGGACCTGCAGTTCGGTTGTGCGTATGGCCGCGTCCTCCCATAGGGAAGAACAGGCTGCTACACACAGCACCTGTTCCTCCCGGGAACAGCCCGATACAGATGTGTACGCACCGAGTTAACCCCGTGTGAATGAGGCCTTAGATATTAGATTATTTTAAACTTTCTCCACACTCCAGGCTAGTGAGTGGCACATAGTAAATCTGGTGCTTCCTTGTGTTCTGTAAGGTTTTTCTTTATTTTCATACAGATATAAGTTTATGTTCACTTGCTATGTGGCCACGGATGCCATAGCTTATATTTGTGTGCAAGTCTGCTGCCCGTGTTCCGATTGTGGCAGCTTAAAACTTATTGTGCAACTCTTCTTGGGGCCTCTGTGTTTTGGTGCTTACTCGAGCCAGTGAAGGAAAAAATATTATTTAGACTGATTTCTGGAATTTATATATATTTTTTTCTTTCACACTATTATATTTCCTGTACTGCCAATCCCTTCTTTCCTCTCATCTTTTATAACGTCTGCTGTGTTTACAGCGATGATTACATTGATTTTGTTCTGTTACGAGGAAGGGATAAACATGGCCTGCCGATGTGATGGCTTATAACTAATCATACTAACGAGCCCGTTTCTGTGCCAGCTTCTTACAGTGTATCCAGAGAACAATTGCCTGGCCTTGGTTTATCGAGATAAAGAAACAATGAGGTTCGTCAAACACATAAACCACAAGAGTGTGCAGAGAAATGCTGGCCTTCCAAATCACAAGGGATTCTGGGACTTTGCTTTTGTGTACTATGAATGACAGCTCATTGTTTGACAGACTTCAAAGTGCGCATTGTTACTCCGGAAAGGGATGTTAATAACTCTCACATGAATTCAACTTGTTTCAGCAGCTTTGAAGTGTGGTGAAAAGTGGCATAATAGCTCAACGTGCTCCAAATCAACAAGTGTGCAAGATGTGGAGGATATTCCCAACTTTACTTAATGTTAATGACTGGATGAGTTTATGTATATTTATATTAAATATACAGTTATTAAATTCTATCGTATTGGATAAAATGTTGTCTGATAAGATTGTGATCTTTAACGTCTAGCTTCCAATTTTAAACAAGCAGTAGATTGGAGTCAATACAGTTACCCACAACAACCTATCTGATTGAAAGATTGATTACGATTTGTTAGTATTGGTCACTTGACATACCTTGCTGCCAGACTGAATAAGCATATTTGTGTTACTTCAGGACAGATGGGGTAAATGTCACAACGTTATTTACTTCAATGCAGTCAGGTCTAAGACCTCCCTGCAGATGACACTGCAGTCAGACAGTACAGCCAGGTCCAGAACCCACCCCTAGCCTGTGACTGAATACTAAACAAGCAGCAACAAACCAATGAAGCCAAACCTGTGATTAGGGATGCACCGATACAAGTATCGGTGCTGATACCGAGTGTTTGGCTGAGTACTCTTACTCGCCCAAATGCTCCGATGCCTAGCCCGATACCCAAAATTCCGGTATGAGAAAGCTAGGCGAGTAATTTTACGCTGCCCGGCTTCCTGATTGGCTGGGAAGCTGGCTCCATGCTCCCTCGTCGCTTGGTGTAATGACTCACTGCCTAGCTTCCTGATTGGTCGGGTCATTACATGGCACCCAGTTTTGATTGGCCAGAAAGCCAGCTTTATGCTCCCTTGTCACCTGGTCTCGAGGGAGCATGGGCCAGCTTTCTGGCCAATCAGGAATCCAGGCACCGTGTAATGACTCACCGCCTGACTTCCTGATAGGCCAGCGTCTCGACCAATCGGGAAGCCAGGCAGGGACTCATTGCCTGCCCGCCTGCTCCATGCTCCCTTGGAAGCCAGGTAGCGAGTCTTTACACGCCGCCTAGCTTCCTGGCTAATCAGGAAGCCAGGTGGCGAGTCATTTCACGCCACACGGCTTCCTTAATGGGACTTTCAGTATCGGCCAATACCGGGGGGAAAAAAAGTATCAGTGTATCTCTACCTGTGATGTTCATACTTGGCGCAATGTGATGACAGTATCCTTGTCTGAGTGCTGCTGTGTAGGGGATTGCAGGAGACAGCCATTTTCTGATGTCTATGTTCAGCTTTAGAAGTTCTGATCTTCAGGGCATAGTTTGCGTATATTGTGTTATTAATCACAAGGCAGGGCGAGGAATTGGAATTCCCAAAGTTTACCGAACATCAGGTCAGCATCTGGAGACATGTCCCAACACTCCTGAGTTTGTTTCCCTCCCACTATAAAGTTCTCATAATTGTCCTATAAAAGCTTCTCCGATACCAGACAGAGAGGAAACCTGAAGCAGTTCTGATGTTGTCAGCACGATTAGTGTAGAAGAGCAGACTTCCATTTCATTAAAATAAGATTATCTTTTTGTAACACTGCACATAATGTCTGGGGAAGAATTGTAGTCAGATGCCTGTCATTTATTACCTACTCTACATGCCCATAGTTGCAGCCACAAGCGTGATAGTCCTTTATTGTAGAAAACAGTGCTACATATATAAAGAAACATACAGTGTGCAATTCACACACTACCCTATCCATGGATACAGGGGCAATCCACCCAAAACCAATGTGAGTGGGCAGCTGTTACTGGACTCTCTGAATGGTACTTGTGCTGATCGAGTGACTTCATTACTTTCTAAGTCTTGCTCCCAGGAGGGACAGGTGCTGCATGTAATTACATACAGCGACCTGTACCTCCCTATGGGAGCATACGGCTGCATGCCATTCACAACCTGCACTTCCATGCAGGTCTGGGTGCCCGCACTTGGACACAAACTGCATCAAAGTGTGGGCACCTTGGGGCATGGATGTGCAGGTTGAGGGTGGTGTGCAGCCGTGTGCTCTCATAGGGAGGTACAGGTGACTGTATGCAATTACATGCAGCACCTGTACCTACCGGTAGCAGGTCTGAATGAGCCCTAAAGGGCACTTCTAATTACCACAATAGCTTTTTATGGTTTGCTGGTCGCTTGAGCAATTCCTTGTAATACCTCCCAGGCTCCAACTAATGACCAATAATAAATAAAAACACGTGGTCCCCAATGCTGAGCATTATAGGGATTCTCTTGTCAAGCTAAATGCCTTTCTGGAAAGCCTCTGAAGGGAGCTGCCACTCTCCTGCTCCTGTTAGGCCGTTAAATATCTATTTAGCATTCCTTGAGAAAGTTGACTGCCCTGGAGTTGCAATACAGAAGGGGGTGAGACATTTTCCATCAGTAGCTTCCCAGACATGGAATAAAATAACAAATGTGTGGCTTAAATTAGTCATTTACAATGCTGGAATTGCAATACTTTGGTAAAGAACGTTCAAGGTGTACGCTAATTCTTGTTGTAAAGATCTGACCTGACCTAATCTGATGACTCTATAATCTGATTTAACAAGGTACTAAGTTTAGACAGAAACCTGTGTGTATGTGTGTGTCCTTACATAAAATGCAGCGCATTAGAAAAATAGGATTTTGGTACTCACCGTAAAATCCTTTTCAGATAAGCACGGATGGTGCGGACCACGTCCAGACAGTGCAGCGCCTTCTCCTTCCTGTGGACAGGCCGCGGACACAAGGAAGGCAGGACAATGTCCTCATTGAGATGGAAAGCCGAAACTACCTTCGGCAGGAAGGACGGTCGAGGCCGCAGAACAACCTTGTCCCGATGCAGGACCAGCAACGGGGACGAGCAAGAGAGGGCCGCCAATTCCGAGACCCTGCGGATCGAGGTGACTGCCACCAGAAAGGCCACTTTTTGAGAATTGGAATGTCACGCAGAGGCTCAAAGGGAGATTCCTGCAACACTGAGAGTACCAGATTCAGATCCCACGGCGGCAACGGGGAGCGAACAGGGGGGACAATATGTGTAACCCCCTGCACAAAAGTGCGAACGAAAGCGTTGGAAGCAATCGGCCGTTGAAAAAGGACCACCAAGGCCGAAATCTGGCCCTTGATCGTACTCAAGGCCAAACCCTGATCCACACCCCGCTGTAAAAAGGCGAGGATCCCGGCAACTGAAAACAAACGTGGCGGAAATCCTACCGACTCACACCAGGCAAAATAAGCCTTCCAAGTTCGATAGTAAATCCGTCGGGACACAGGCTTGCGAGCCCGCAACATCGTAGAGATAACCGCATCCGAGAGACCACGATCCCTCAACACCTGGCTCTCAACAGCCACGCCGTCAAAGCCAACGACGGTAAAGACGGATGGAACACCGGACCCTGAGGTAGAAGATCTGGACGGAGCGGCAGGCGCCAGGGGACGTCCGACCCTAACCGAACCACACCTGACGACCCCGCCCTCCTTGGCCAATCCGGCGAGGATGACCGGGACTCTTTCCACCGCGACCCTGCGAAGAAGACGCGGCAACAGATACAGTGGAGGGAACGTGTAAATCAGAACGTAGCAATCCCACGGCGCCACCAGGGCGTCCACCGCATCCGCCCAAGGTTCACGGGTCCTGGCCACGAACCGAGCCACCCGCTGATTGAGGCGAGACGCCAGGAGATCCACGTCCGGGAACCCCCAACGAAGGCAGAGCTGGTGAAACACCTCCGGATGTAGCATCCATAATAATTATCTGTTACTCTCCCTGGCCTGGATTAGAACCTGGGACCTTTACAATGGCAAGCCAGGACTCTAACCACTACACTATTGACTCTGTACCATAAACAGAGGTGGAGAGCCAGAGCCAGGTCCTAGCTGCAACCCTGGCAGTTCTCATGGAAAATGCCAAGTATCGGCACTGGTATCTGGACATCCCTAATATGAACCATTAAAGCCTAAGTTAGGAAAGGAACATTACAAGATATAAAGTGGAGACATTGTTCATGTATCTCGTTGTGCTATATAGTTGCTGGTAAATCAAAAGCTGGCCATACCCATTACAAGCCAATTGCACCGTCTCCAGCTTTAGATTTATCAAAAATCTTGTACTGTCATCAGAGGTAGAAAAAGACAGACAAGTTTGGAAAGGTGATGGTGAGATCTACAATTCCTCAAACCAATAAGTAGAGTATGGTGTGACATCGGCTAACAGGGAGTCTGTAAACGGTCTTCCAATCAAGTGATCATTGTAGGAAATGCATCCACCAGAAAGCCAATTCTGTTTTTAATGTTTCATGAAAAAATGTGACTACAAAACCCTATAAACATTCAATAAATAAATTGCCTACCCTGCAACACTGATAGGACCAGATCTGAAAACCACATGATCCCAGTTTGTGACAGAGACGTAAATAAATATAAAACTCACTAAGATTTTAAGGAATCACAAAGATTGGGGAGGCTTGTTCCCATTTTTTAAGGACCTTTGACTTTCCATAGCGCAGACTATAAAGTCTATCCAGCTCCTCTGACAAATGTATTTACAGGGACCAGTGTCACCCGTGTGAAGCCGCGATCTTGCTGTGAAGCTTATGTGCGAATTGGAGCTTACAAAAACTACAGCTCACAGTCCTTTGGTTTACAAGACTTCTCTGGATAACCCTGAAGGCCTCAGCTAGGAGGGAGTAGCTCCTACACGCATGATCCTGAACAAGGCATTGATGTTGTTGGTGCGGATGGCACACCTGCACGCTGTGATCACCTGGGCTTTCGGTTTACCAACTGCAAAGAAATGTGAAAAGTTAAGATATGTTAAGGGTATATAGTCCTAATATTTCATTATTCAACTATTTTTCTGCTTTAGATAAACTGGAGAACACTTAGAACCTTGGTCTAGTTTCCATTGCTGTCATTGTAGGTTACAGACGGCAATAAAATCCCAGGAGGCTCTAAACGTTCACCACCCTATCCTAAATGTAAAAAGAAAAATCATGGCTGGAGTTTAAAGTGCCAGTGTTTCTTCAAAGTCCTCCTCTAGTCAT